TCAGGTGGTCATAATAATCTGGACAATATATATAAATGCACACATACACACACACACACACATACACACACACACACATACACACTAATAAAAGACAAAGATGCTAATTGACTGTACCTTTGCTATGCCCTAAGCCATGCCCCCCAGCCAATGAGAGCTGCTATATGCAAATTAAGCCAACCAAGATGGCGGCCAGCAGCCACGGAGCTGGAGCAAGCAGGAGGTTTGGTTGCACGGGCGATAGAGGAAGCCAAGCTTCCTGCTGGCCCTGAGCTGGCTGTGGCCTCTGCTCATGGCAACAAAGTTTCAATTATAGAAGACAAATAAATCCCAGATACCTGCTTCCAGCCAGCATCCACTGGGAGCTTGGGTGGCTGCGGGTTGTGGCCAGCCTGCAAACAGTCATCAGCTCCTCACCCAGGCTGGCCACACCTTCATGGGGTGATGGTTCCCGCTAGGGGGCTTAGTCAGCCTGCAAATGGCCCTCAACCCCTCACCCAGGCTGGCCAGGCACTCCTATATAAAAAAGGATAATATGCAAATTGACTATAACAGCAGAAGGACTGGGAATGACTGGTCACTATGACACACACTGACCACCAGGGGGCAGATGCTCAATGCAGGAGCTGCCCCCTGGTGGTCAGAGCGCTCCCACAGGGGGTATTATCTATCTTGGGCATTTTAGTAAAAAGAAAGAAAAGCAACAAAGAAGCAGTAAATTGGAATGTTGGTCTTGTGGCCAGAATCCATGTTGACCCATTTGGCCTCTGGAAGAAGGTGGGTCCAGTGAATCAGAAGGTGGATTCTAAACCCAATGTGCTTGAATGGAATCTCTCTCCAATGTGAATAAGATATAAACTTTTGATGATTTCCCCCCAAAAGGCTGTCCAGGGTGGGGCCAGGGAAAGCCCATCTCATTGCTTGGGTGAAAGAAGACACTCATGGGTTTTACTTTTTGCTGTTGTTAATTTTCACCTGAGGATATTTTTCCATTGATTCTTAGGGAGAGTGGGAAAGGGAAAGACAGAAACATTGATGTGAGAGAAACACATCAGTTGGTTGTCTCCTGCATGAGCCCCGACCAGGGCCCGGGATTGAGCCTGCAACCAAGATATGTGCCCTTGACTGGAACTGAACCTGGCACCCTTTGGTTTGCAGGCCGATGCTTTATCCACTGAGCTATACCAGCTAGGGCTTAGTGTTTTACTTTTTAAAAAATATATTCTTATTGATTTCAGAGAGGAAGAGGGAGAGATAGAATTATCAACGATGAAAGAGAATCATCAACCGGCTGCCTCCTGCACACCCCTTACTGGTGATAGAGCCCGCAACCCAGGCATGTGCCCTGAGAATAGAAACAAGATCTCCTGGTTCATGGGTCGACACTCAACCACTACGCCACACCGGTCAGGTTAGTGTCTTACTTTTATCTTGGGCCTGTCTGGCTCTAATGGGTTTTTTATTTGTTCCCAACTTCATCTGTCCTTGGGTTTGGCTGGCACTAATGGCATTAACACGTTAAGCGCCCAGTCTGTTTTGTCTTCCGGACAGATAGTGTCAGTCTCCAGTGACTGACAGGGCACTTAATGTGTTAATTGAGTCTCTGTCCTCTATCTCCCTAACCGGGGTGATTTGAGGTATTTACTCTCTGGTCAGCGAGGAGAGGTATAAACCATTTGTTCTCAAGTGTCCCTGGTTGGGAAAGATAAGGTCTTGCAATTCACTAGTTGGCTCTAAATTGGTCAAATTGTTTGCCCTTGTTTATCTTGCCTCAGTTTCCCCATTCCACTCGCCCAGGAATTTTCCCAGCTCACTATCCTGCCTCACTCAGAGCTTTCCCTGGGCTCTGAACAGGCCAGAGACATCCAATGGTCTACCAAGCACAGTCTCGGCCAGAGCTGACAGGGCAGACTTGGTGCCACAGGATGGTATACGGAAACATAAAAGGCAAAGTTAAAATCTGTGCATGACACTTATTTCCCCACCTTTTAATCACTCACTGCCTTGTTTGAAACCATTTCTTGTAACTGAATTGAGTACACGAGGAAGTTTTGTTTTGGTACTACTAATCCTTTTTCAACTACAGTATTCATTCATTGATGAATCGTTATGTCAAAGAAAAAGACAACGTTGCATATGCTTTGAGAAAATATGGAAGTGAGTCATGTATCAATTTATAAATTTTTGCTTAGGCCATAGTTTTTTTTAACCTTTGACTTTCAGAAGTAAACCATAAATAATAACAGAACAGCCACATTACAATGTTACTTACAAGAATGGCTGAGAAGGGAGCCACAGTCAAGTCAGTAACACTTTCATAAAATGAGTAGAACCCATTAATACAACGGCTCTTTATCACTTGGATCCAAATACACAGTGGACCACCGTGTCCCCTGACATTTAACAGTCACATTCAATAAAAGCCTGTTAGTGCATCCTCAACCCTCTAAGTCTAAGGGGCCACCTGCGATTTCCCTTTGAAAGCCTTGCACAAAGTGAGGTTAAGCACCAGTAAGAAAGACTGTTGTTAGCAGTTTTATTTCATCATCTTCATCATCATCAATACACATGCAGTTTCTTCCTCCTATGTACATGGCATTGCCAAATGGGTGCTACACTCTGCTTGTGGTACAAAGTTTATAAATACAGTATACCAATACAAAGTTGAAGCCATTAAAAAGAGTTTAATAACAACTAGGAGATAATGAAATCTGTAGTGTTGATGGAGTCTATGAAAGGGATTTAGAAACAACACATAAACTCAAACATTACAGTAAATGTGTTACTTGGGAAGGGGTGAGAGAGGGGCGTGTTATGTGCTGCTGCAGGGTTTTCTAGGTTGTCCCACATTTACTTTCTTTCTGCTATTATCTTTAAGTACTGCAAAGCATTGTGGGCGGCATCACTCTGTGCATTGCTGCAGGAGATCCCAGAGCCGTGGCAGACTGTGATAGGGCTGGTGGACAGTTCCGCGAGGCACTGATACTGTCCGTTGGCACTCAATTCTTCTGTAATGACATATTCAAACGTGATAGTTAATAAGTGCATACAAAGTAGATCCTTTGTCTAAGCAATAGTTTTTATCATTGTTTTTCTCTGTAAGCATCCATGGTAGACTACTCCACTTATCATCTTTGTTATTCTTTCTTAAAAATTTTTATTTTAGAGAGGGAGGAAGGGAGAGGAAGAGAAGCAGAAACATCGATGTGAGACATGTCCATTGGTTGCCTCCCACATGTGCCCCAACTGGGGACTGAACCTGAAACCTAGGTATGTGCCCTGACTGAGAATCAAACCCAAGACCTTCCCGTCCATGGGATGATGCTCCAACCTACTGAGCCACATGGGCCAGGCATCTTTGTTATTCTTGTACAAACAAAAAACAAAACACAGCTGCTCAGCTACAGCAACTCTCAAACACAGATGTGCTTGATAATCATCAGAGGGAACTTAGCAATGCAGGTGTCCAGGCCTTGCTCCAGCCTGCTCAATCAGAAATGCAGGGTTAGGGTTAAAATATGCCAGATTCTTGCATTTTAAAAAACAAACAAACAAAAAAGCTCCCAAGACAATTCTAATGTGGCTATCTGAACAGTGTTTACAAATTATTGAACCACAGCAACTTTTTCAAAAGGGAAAAAACCATTGGCTAGAAGCCTGGAGAAGTTGCATTTTTCATTATGAAGTCTAGGGGTATTTTCAGTGGACAGTGAACTAGGACACACATGGTTCAGGGCACTACCTCCTTTGTGCCTTAATGTTCTTTGGTTATAAATCTGGGAAAAGAGTCTAAGGGTTAGGGTGTTTTAAAGTAATACCTAACCCAGGAAACAAATGCTCTTCTCATCAACGATGAATCACTCTTACTGAAGACAACAAGTAAGATCAGGGAAGAAGGAGAACACACAAGTCATAATTTGTTTAAAGAGGTCATGATTAAATGTTATTTCAGTTAGTCAACATAGAGGGAAGTATCCAGATACAATGGGATTATTTAATGCCTGAAGAGACTTTCTAGTTCTAGCATCTAGGTTCTTTTATTTTTTTAAGTGAGGTAAAATTCACACAACATAAAGTTAATCATTTCTAAAGTGAACTATTGAATGGCATTTAGTACATTCGCAATGTTGTGCAACCACCACCTCTATCTAGTTATAAAACATTTTCGTCATTTCATCATACCACGAGGAAACACCACACCCATTAAGCAGCTGCTTCCAACTTGCCTGCCCCATCAGCCGCCTTTTCTGACCATCTGTCCATACTAAATTCCCAGCACATTTGATCCTAAAGCAACAGAGAAAATCAGAAGTTCTTTCAGTCCCTAAACACCCTACTTTCCAGTGCTAGGACCTCTGAAAGCTAGGTCCCTACAGGTCACTGAAACTGGAATAGAGGTATCAAGTTCTTCACATATTATACTGATGTAAAATCAAGACGATAAACGCATGTACACGGTAGCCAGCTTTATAAATTGACTTAAAAGAAAATCCAAACTGACTTCGTCTCCAGTCATTCTGCATTTGTCTACCTAAATGATTAAGGGCTAGAGAAAATGACAGCTGGAACGGGAGAAAGCTATAAATTGACCTGCCCCATGTGCCTCCCAGGACTGGCACACAGTGATGAAGTGGGGAGAGAGGTCTGGCGTGCGTTCTGTAAAGACACCACATTTATAGAACAAGGAGTGAGTTTGTGGGTTCTGTAATGACATACTCAAACGTGATGGTTACTAAGTGTATATAAAGTAGATCCTTTGTCTAAGCAATAGTTTTTATCATTGTTTTTCTCCAGAAGCATCCACAGTAGACTACTCCACTTACCATCTTTGTTATTCTTTTTAAAACGTTTTTTTATTTTAGAGAGGGAGGGAGAGAAAGAGAAACAGAAACATCTATGTGAGACATGTTCATTGGTCATTACAGAACCCACAAACTCACTCCTTGTTTTAGAAATGTGGTGTCTTTTTATCTGTCAATCTTCCCATCAGGGCGAGATAAATGGACAGTGTATCTACAGTTACTCTTCCCCTAACCTGGCTCTAGCACTGACTAGCTATGTGATCTTGGACAAGTGTCTCAACTTTTCTGTGCCTTAGTTTCTTCATATGCATACAGAACCTACTTCATAGGGTTAGTTTGAGGATTCAATTAGTTATTATGTAATGTCCTTAGAACAGTGCCTGGCACATAGTAAATAAAATTCTATAAATCTTAGCTATTATTGTTATTATTATTATAACTGTAGAGATGCTGGCTATTTTGAATATAATGTATGAGAATGGAAAATATCATTTATATATTTTACTGCTGTGGTAATAGAGTTAGATTCCTTAATCAATGACATTAATTATAACAGAAGTTTTTGTTTCTCAAACGTACTTTTAAAAGAAATATGTTTTGGGATAGCAAAAAAAACCCCAAAAAACCCTCATACCTATATCCAAATATGTTATATTAAAACCCTGTTCCTTGGCGATTTCACTGAGCAGCTGGATGTAATTCGTATTGGGAATACTGAGGAGGCTTCTTTTCAGTAAGTTGATCTTTTCACCAGGAGAATTCCTCAAGGAATGCCAAGTACATCCTAAGGAATGTCCTACTACGTTTGTCTGAAAACAGAGATGAAGGTTAAGACTCAGAACTGGGACTGGTTTCCAACTATAATTAATTTAGAAGGCACTCACACTTAATAGTTTATAATGCATGTTTAAATGGACACAATTTGGTTAACTTTCTAATTTAAACAAGACAACACAAACAAGTACACACATTTAACAAATAGCATGATGTTAAAAAAGAAGCATGTGCAATAACATAATGGAAGTATTAATTTTTCTTTTTTCATTTTTTTTAATAGTGAAGTATTTAAAAATATTTTTGTATAGCACAAATGTCTCTCAATTTTTCTGACACTCACATTAAGACATAAGATATTTAAGAATACTATAAACAAATTTGCAAATAATTGCATCTGACTAGCAGAGCAATCTACAAATTAAAATATAAAGCAATTTTCATATCTTTATGATTTCTTGTATTAAATACCAATCACTGTAACCAAAAGCTGTACAGTAGAAAACAAAGGAACTGTAGAAAAGGTAAAAGTATGTTGGGTTTGAGAAGAACAAGTTATTTAAATGAATAGCAGGATGTCCAAGAGTTCTTAGACTTATATTGCAGAACCCAACTGAGCTTGTTTTTGTTTTCTTTCTCCTTTTCCTTTTTTCTCCCCTATATCCTCCCTTTTTCACCTGTGTTCAGAATGTTTTACATTCCATGTTTATGTTTCTCAAATTATTTTTATTATGTCATTTAAAAAACCCACTACAACTACTCTTTGAACTAAGTAGGGCAACCTGTCGTTAGTCTTCCTTATTAATGAGCCCAGACATAGGTTAAGAAATTTTCAAAAGATCATAGGAATGGCCCTGATACAGAATTGAGTAATTTGTACAATTTACTAAATAGAATTTTATATTTCTTGATTGAAACTTTAAACAAAATTGTTTTTTTTAAATCATAATTAATTCACATGGTTTTAAAAAAACCTGCAATTAAAACAAACATCTAATGAATAGTGGTCTTTTTTCCTTACCTCCCCTTCCTAGATTTCTGTTCTACTCCCCAGAGGTACTTGCTGTTAAACTTTTCTTCAGTACCCTTCCATAAATGTTCTATGCACATTCAAGTACACACACACACACACACACACATAATCTTTTTAAACAAAAATGATAGCTTACTCTTCTACATCTTACTCATTCTTCTCATCTTTGCACATATATGTATTATATTTATTACCAGCCTCCAACTAAGAGTTTTAGGTTGTTTCTGGTTTCTTGCTTTTAATAACAATGTTACAATAAAAACTCCTTTGCACTTAAATGACTTTCTGTGCAGAATAATTTTTAGAAGTAGAATTGCTGAGCCAAAAAACATGCACGCTTTTAATTTTGGTAAATACTTCCAAATTGATTTTGAACCACTTTATACTCCCATCAAAGTCTTAAAGGGTGCTTGCCTTCTCATATCCTCACCAACACCAGGTGTTATCAAACTTTGTAGGTTTTGTTGATCTAAAATATGAAATTAGTATATTGTTTAATTTGCACGAATGAAGTTGAACTTTTTAAAAAAAAATAACTGTATTTCTTCTACTTGATTATCTTTAAAACTCAATATATTCTACATTTAGCTCATTATCTGTTCCTTCTCAAATCTTATTCCTTTTCTATGGTCCCCATATGAATGAATGGTGCCCCTATCTACTCAGCTGCCAAACTAAAAATGTTTATTTTCTCCCTTTTCCTTACTTCCCATATCCAATCAATGACAATGCCCCCTTCACTTTAGTTTTCTAAATAATTTTTAAATCTACCATTTCTACTGCCACTCCCTTAATTTAGGCCACCAACATTTGTCATCTGATTTCTATAACAGCGTTCCAACAGGTCTCTAATATTCATTAACTTTTCATAACACAGCCAAGTGATTTTTCTTTTACTGGATAAATTAAATTAGAGCCTGTGAATCCAGATTAAAATTTTTTAATGACTTTGTTCTCCCCTCAGAATAAAGTTCAATCTTCTTAATGGCCTCACCGTCTGAGACTCCCTCCAACTCTCTGCTCTAGCCATACGAAATTACTTAGGGTTCCTACACTACGTATGATGTTTCACTCCAGCTCTTTCTTCTCTCTGGAGTTCTTTTCCCCCTACTCTCATCCTACAAGTCTCAATGTAGATATTCCTCCAAGGAGCCTTCCCTAAACCCCCAGTCTCAGCTGGATGGCTTCTCCCATGTTCCTACAGCAGCCTCTGTAAGGGCCAGTCTAGTCTGTAGGTTCTTTTCCTTTCAGTCTGCCATAAACACCTTAGGAGCAGAGACTGTCTTATCACTGTATGCCACTACCCAGCACAAAGCTTGGCACAGAGTATGAGCTCACTAAATGTTTCCTGAGTGGATAAATGAGTGAATGAAGAAAGGGATGGGAATGCACTGTTAATGTGAAGGCAAAAATAGCACGATTTCAGGGCCTATTATCTTTAGATCCTCACAGTATTCTCAATTTGTCTATGCCTCCCAAGCCCTCTGACCTGGTCACCCCTATGACCCTGGCTCACGTAGAGCAAGCAGATTAAATTGGATTGGGGTAGTGTGTAACTAAACAATGAAGAGATTTTCTAAAACTGCAACTATGAAGTATCAATACAACAAGAAATCTAGGCAAGTTTCCTACAGCAAGAGATGGGGCGGGGGGATGGGGGGGCGGCGGCAAAAGAGGGGAAAATGGGAAATATCTGTAATACTGTCAACAATAGATTAAAAAAAGAGACGCTTAATCACATTAATATCATAGCTGTATGATCATTACTCACTAAAGAAATGTGGTTCTCTGGAGAAATGTTACTGAATTTGGCAAGAAATTTCTCCGCAGCATTTCTCTTGGCTTGTTTTTTTGATGCCCCTTTTCCTAAATAATTAAAAAGAAATGGTAGGTTTAGAAAAGAAATGTGTCCACAGAGAATGATCAAACGTGTATTGCATTTAATCAGAGAACCACCTCATGGTTTTATATACTAGTCTATTTTTTACTGACCTGACATCTTTGCTTGTTGTGATTCATATAGCTATTAATTCTTACATTTTTGAAGGCATTTCTTTTAACAGTTTAACTTTAGTAGTTATACTTTCTGTTTTTTCATTAACAGCTATATTTCCCTATGCCTAGTTTTAATGAGTTCTGATCAAATATTTATATTTATTAAGGTATATTTGAGTTACCACTTGTTTCTCATTGTTTTCCTGCTTACAATTTTCTATAAACTGACAATTATGTGGAATTTCTCTATCATGAATAAGAAAGGGGATACTGAAGTTGAAAGAGACCATATACTTCATCTCCTTCCATACTTCTGTTAGATTTAAAAACTACGGCCCAGAGAGATTAAGTTGCCTATCCTGCAAACCAAAGATTGCATCAAAAACAGAAGTTGAGGCACCTGCTTCTTGCTCAGTGCTTTCTGCACTGGCTCACACTCCCTCTTTTTTTTTTTTTTTTAAAAAAAAGACAGTCTCATTTTATTTTTTTATTATTATTATTTTTAAATATACTTTTATTGATTTCAGAGAAGGGAGAGAAATAGAAACATCAATGATGAGAGAGAATCATTGATTGGCTGCCTCCTACACGCCCCCTACTGAGGACCGAGCCTGCAACCTGGGCACGTGCCCTTGACCAGAATTGAACCCGGGACCCTTCAGTCTGCAGGCGAACCCTCTATCCACTGAGCCAAACCAACTGGGGCCCATGCTACCTCTTGAGGGCAAAAAGTAGCTTGTATGTTGAAACTAACAGGTAGCCAAGGCAAAATTCCTTTTCAAGCCACTTTAAAAAATAATAGAAACATGTTAGAGAAGTTAAATAGGATTCCTTAATAGTACTTTATTAACTAACTTTTTTCCTCATTGTTTATGGCCTTTACAATATAAAAGTTGCTATCATTGCAATGTTTTGTCATCTAACCTCTTATTAATCATCTTATTTTCAAATGCAAACAAGATGTTTTCTAGTCCTATCTTCTAGAATAGCTGCCGAAATACCAAATGAGATTTCTTAAGTATTTAGTATATCACTGAGGATTATATAATGAGTCAATTAGTTATTTATCTTTCCATTAATAACTCTTGATTTTTAAAAATATCAAATTAAGAAGTCTAAGTATTCTTAAACCAAATATTTACTTAAATTCATCCTCAGAAAGTTAGAGACAGTAGAACAGGAGTGTATCAATTTTTTCTCAACAAAAAAATTTGAGAAGTTGCCACCACAGAAATTTCTATGGTCATTCATCATTTGAAAATACATCAAATGTCTCCAATTGTATGAGGGTAAAAAGAAATAAGTACCAGTTTCCATAAATGACTCTAGCTTGCAGATTGTGGTATATTCTCTCTTATGAGCGGGTCCTCCCTCCTGGGAAAGGGTATATTCAGGAAGTCTCCAGCCATGATGAATAGCCAATTCCTAGAAAATTGAGATGAGGCTTTAGTAGTAATTTTTACTACGCAAAGGCTCAATCACATAAATGACATTCTTTCATGATTTTGATCTCATTTCTATTTATATGTTTAAAGGAATAATGACATTCTGGAATAGGAAAATTAGGGAATACCCTTGTAAGCCCATAATACCAAAACTGAAGCAGTTTCCTGCTTATGAATGGCACTAGAGGCCCGGTACATGAAATTCAGTGTCCCTCAGCCCGGCCTGCACCCTCTCCAATCTGGAACCCCTCCGGGGATGTCCGACTGCTGGTTTAGGCCCCATCCCGGCAGTCAGACATCCCTCTCACAATCCAGGACCGCTGGCTCCTCACTGCTTGCCTGCCTACCTGCCTGATCACCCCTAACTGCCTCTGCCTGCCTGCCTGATCGACCCTAACCACCTCTGCCTGCCGGCCTGTTCTCCCCCTAACCACTCTCCTGCAGGCTTGATTGCCACCTAACGGCTCCCCTGCCAGCCTGATCGCACCCCTAACTGCTTGCTCCCCTGCACTGGCCTGATCTTAGCCCTCACTACTTGCTCCCCCGCCTGTCTGATTGCCCCTAACTGCTTGCTCCCTTACTGGCCTGATTGCCCCTAACAGCCTCTGCCTTGGTCCCCGCCACCAACGCTTTGTCCGGAAGGAAGTCGGACATCTGGAAGATTTCCAGTCAACCCGTTCTAATTAGCATATTACCCTTTTATTGGTAGAGATTCTTCCATTAAGCTACAGTGAGCTGATATCAAAGAGTTCAAGTAGGAAGACAAACTGAGTAAAAACCTCAGAGGATATCCATAGGTTTTGCTGCCAACAGTTCCTAAAGCCTTTTCCCTCTGAGCTATAGACCCCTCTACCCACAGCTGGCTAATCACTGTAACTGATCAAGAGCAAAAGAGGAGCAGAGATAGCAAACTGGTTTGGAAAAGGAGAAAACTACAGAATAACTCATGGAGCAGGAAAGAGACCAAAGGACTGGTTGGATAACCGGGAGGGGTGTTGTCCAAGAGAGCACACAGATAATCTGCAAAAGGCTATTCTGTATGCCGAAATTCAGAGCTGAATATATATATTTGGTAGAATAAGCAAATGAAGACTTCTTCCCTATTCTTGAATTAGGCTACCTGATTTGAGTTCTTTAAATTTAGTCTTTTGTCTCAACAAAAGTAGAAAGAGGTTTGTCAAAAAAGTGGCAAGAAACATTCTTAAAGTATAAAACATATGCAGAGGTTCTGTTGATCTCAAATGAGAATTCCACAAGCCAAAGGCAGATACTGTATATGGAGGAAAATCCAAAAAATAAACAGGAAAATAATTTCAAGTTAGCACTGTAATATCTAATGACCATAAATTGGAAAACAAAATATTATATCATCTTATCTTTAAAATATTAATTCCTTGTTTAGCCCAATTATGACACCTTTCTTCAGTAGACAAAATGTTAAATATGGAAAAACTGTGCAACTTACCTGTAATGAGCCAATAGGATTAAGCTGGTTCTTTGGTTGCTTGGAAGGATCAGGCATTAAGGGGTCAGGAACTGCAAAGCTAAACATTTTTTAAAGTGTTATAAACCCAAATGATCTCCCCCAAGTTACCAAATACACGACAAGTACTTTCTCTTCCCCCCTCTATGTCTTTGCTTTTGCTGTTCGCTCTACACAGAATGCCCTTATCTCCCGACTCTTTCACGAGAATCTGATCTACCCATCACCCAAGGAATATCTCAAATGCCACATCCTGTAAAAAGCCTACCCTCTTACCCCAATGGAACATATTTTCTCACTCCTTTGAGCCATTATAACATTTGGTTTGACACTTGCTTAAGCAAACTATTTTACCATAAGTTATACACTCTTACAAATACATGTAATTTGTCCATCCCTCACCACCTCTTGCCCCTGTTCAGATTGTAAACTCCTTGATGGTAGGGCCCATCTATTACTTACCTTCATAAGCTTTGTAGTACTTTGCATGTAACTGGTGCTCAATAAAATGTATTTAAGTAAAGCATACAATTGTTACAACTACACAAAAAGGGAAGACTAATAATTAGTCAGGAAATTTAGCCTGTGAATAATGTAAATCATAAATGCAGTTTTTCCTTCAGATAATTAATTATAGGAGAAAAATCTGTTTGATATATCATCTGCTCTAAGCTAGGATAACCCTAAGATTTACATGCATCCTAGATGGCCTGCATGAATCTGGTTTCAGCATCTGACGATGGTTATTAGGAAAAAAGAAAACAATTTCTTCTAAGTAATTTGAAATACTAATTACTTGGGTGATGGTGCCTGACATTGAATAAGCTACATTTCCGGGTACTACCACTGAGGCAATTGAAAGTCATTTCTTCCCTGACAAATGAGACTTAGTTATTGCCACTTCCTCAAGTTTCTTTTCTACCAGAATTTCAAGCTTTACAGAGGCTGATGAGATATGAATATTCACTTACAATGCTGCATGTCTAAGCTACCTAAAAAATTGTGATGAAGAAGTGAGAAAGTCTGTATTAAATCAGGCCACTTTAGGTCTCATTATAGCTTAGTAATTCCCATTTTATCTGCCAAGAAGCACAAAAATACAGGGAGGGGCAAAAGTAGGTTTATAGTTGTAAGTACACATATTAGTTTATTCCTGTATTATTTATTAATTATTCTATTATTTTCCATACGAACAACTGTAAGCCTACTTTTGCCCCATCCTGTAAAGTGCATGAGTCTTTTCTGCTGATAAAGTGAAGTGCTCATGTGCAGGAAGGACACAGCGTACACTCATTTCCACAAATACACTTAACGTTTTGGGTTGATCCTGGGCAGCAGAGAAATAGCATAGCCATCACAAGCAAGGGGGAGATCCAGTACCTGCCATTCCATTTGGCATGTCTAAAAAGGTAGCATCAATCAATTATAGAATCAAGCATCATTTTATAAAATCCAAGGCTTACACTGGCTAAACTATCCGAATGGTTAGAATAATTTAGAAAAAGGGAGCAGCATTGCATGAGAGCCCAGATACATCCCTAAGTCAACAGTTTTGCTATGGCTGGGAAGCAAAAACCCCACGGGCCTATGCTATCAGCTACGAACAGATACGCAAACTGTTCTCCAAATATATTTGAGTGCATGCAAAGAAAAGCCGCTGAAGGCACACCATATTCCAGGCTGTGCCCATTAGAAACCAAGGACACCACTTCAAGATA